AGGAGGGGTGAGGGGTCGGGGGGTTGCCGGAGCAGGGGGGGGTGTCCCTCCCCCGGTCCCCCCAGCTCCACTCACCGCTTTCCGGGAGGATTTCTGCAGGATGTCCCGCGCCAGCGTGCTGAAGGCCTGGGGAGAGGAGATGGTCAGCAGGGACCCCCTCCGGGGATGGGGAACCCCCCCAGTGCCGCTCCCGTTGGGGGGGGGGGTGTGCGGCCCACCCCCCCTACATCTGGGTCCCCCTCTCACCTCTTCCACATTTACGCTGGACTTGGCACTGGTCTCGAAGAAGCGGATCCCGTGCTCCTTCGCCAGCTGTGGGACAATGGGACCCCCCCCCGGCTTTGAGCCAGGTGCTGGGGTCGGGGGGAGCCTCCCCAGCCCCACGGTGCCCCCCCTTACCTTCTCGGCCTCGTCCCGCTGCACTTTGCGCTTGGCCTCCATGTCGCACTTGTTGCCGATGAGGAGACGCTCGACCCCGGCAGAGGCATTCTGCAGGCAGGAGAGGATGGGCAGGACCCCCCCCTGCCCCCCCCGGCCCCCCTCACGTGTCCCCAACCCCAATGCACACCCACCTCCTTGATGCTTTTCATCCAGTTTTGGATATTCTCAAAGGATTTCTCATCAGTGATGTCGTACACAAGGATGATGCCCTGCCAGGATGATGTGGTCACTGGGGCAGAGACCCTCCACCCTGGTTTGAGGGGGGGGGGTCCTCATCCCCAGGCAGCCACAGTCTGTCCCCCCCACCTTCTGGGGGCTGCTGGCACCCCCCCACCATACCACGGCTCCACGGTAATAGGCTGTTGTGATGGTTTTGAAGCGCTCTTGTCCCGCTGTGTCCCTGGGGCAGAGGCAGAGGAGAGGGGGGTGAGGGCAGCTCGACGGGAAGCTGGAGGGGTCCCCAATTCCACACACACACCCCACTTACCAGACCTGCAGCTTGATCTTCTTCCCATCGATGTCCACTGTCCGGATTTTGAAGTCGATCCCTGGGATGGAAGGAGAGAGACAGGGGCTAGTGATGCATCTGGAGCAGATGCCATAAACAGTTCCACTCCCAGTCCCAGCCCCCAGTTTCCCAGTAACCATCTGGCATCCCAGGAAAGGTGGGGGGAGCAAAGTTCAAGCCTGGCACCAGCTGCAGCGGGTGGGAGAGAGTCACCGGCATCCCCAAGTGGGTGGGAGAGGGTCACCGGCATCCCTAAGCCTGCTAGACACCGCATTCCTGCAGAATGGCATCACCCCACACAGATGCCTGCCATGCTGCCCACGCCGGGGTGGCAGGGGTGGGCGCAGAGACCAGAGAAAGGGAGCTGCTGGACCCCCCCAATCAAGTCAACCAGTCCCAAAAGCTGTCAGATGCCCCCCCAAACTCCCATGTCCCTGCAGCCATCCCCCCCCCCCCCCCGGCCCTGTTTCAGGACACCCTGTTTCAGGGGCTGAAGTGGAGGAGGAGGAAGGGCTGGAGCAGTTGGGGGGCAGCCCCTAGGACCAGAGCCCCAGACTGGGAGGGTGATGGTGGGGTACAAGCTGGATGGACCCCAAGCCCAGCTGGCATCTCCACACCAGAGTTTATGGCACAGGTCGTGCTGGGATGGCTGCTCCAGGCTCAGGAAATGGTTTTACCAGCACGATGGAAACTTGGAGGAGGATGGGGTAGTGGGTGCCGGGGTCCGAGCTCGGTGTCGGCCGCTGAGCAGGATCAGCGTCGAGCCATGGCCAGCATCACCGTGCCACGCCAGCTTCCTTCGTAATGCAGCCCCTGGAAATGGCTCAGACCTCCCCGTTCACCACTCGGGATGAGACACACACAGAGCTGCCCCGTCCCCGGGTCTCCTGACAGTGCCGGAGTGTGGGTGAGAGGCCAGCGGGGGATGGAGAAGGAGAAAGACAGCGAGCGAGCGATGAGAGCAGACCCAACCGCCCCGGCCTTCGTCCAGCCGCCCCGGGGTTGAGCGGTGGGGACCCGGTGGGCGGTTGGGTGGGGG